GGATTACAGGTGTGAGCCACCGCGCCCGGCCGACAGACCCTATCTCAAAGCAACAACAACAAAAGCCACTATGGCAAAGAATCTCATTTTTAGTTTAGATGCAGTCCAGGCCCAGTAATTGCAAGTGAGAGAAATGCTATTTGTAGTTTTTCTTCCTGCATTTGGGGTGAATATAGCTTTCAGAGAGTGTTTTTTTTTTGGCTTTTATTTCTTTGTCTCTGGATTCCTTTTGACCATACCTGAGGGAAATCTAAAGGAAAGCATTGAGGCCGAAGCTGCCCACTGTCCTTTAGCCATGTCTTTGTCTCTCCTGTCACATGCTGTGGCTTCTCTCAGGTCCTCAGTCACTGAGACTCACAGCTGCACTGCATCCTCCGAGGAGGAGCTTAATTGAGTCTCGCACAGACACACCTAGCGCTGGCTCCACTCTGTCTTGCCTGCCAAGATTTACTGGCTCTGACTGCCCTTGAGCCCACATCCCCATTGCCTTCTCTTTCTCCAGTGTCATTACCTTATAGGACTGGTGTCGAGATACACACTGTAAATTTAATTAACAGTCTCTGCTGCTGACCATCCTTTTTTTGGCCTTGTGTTTCAGAGGAAAAGTCAGAAGATATATTCTGAAGAGCCTTAACTTTCATGTGAGCTTCAGAAGTATTTAAATAATCCCGGTTGGCTGGCTGCAGAGTTGAGGGAGGAATGGCTTCGTTCTGAGGTGCCGCTGTGCTCTGAAAGGAGCCGCGGCCATGCGAGGCATTTGTTAGGACAGCGGTTCTCGAGGGGGTCCTCAGGATCTAAACTATTTTCATAATCATACAGTATGAGTCTCTTGTACTGTTGACATTGCCTGATGGTGAAAAGCAATGATGGGTAAAATTGCCAGCACCCTCACGTGATTCCAGGCTGTGGCACCAGACTTTACTAGTAGCCACTGCATTCTTGACTGTCACCTACTCACAGGGGGCGAAAAAGGCTCATATCACTTAAGAATGGTCTTGAAATAATAAAACTGTTCACGTGATTAAATCTCAACCCTTGCCTTTTAATGTTCTGTGAGACAGCATGGGAGGGGTGCACACAGCACTGCTGCTGGGCCTGAAGTGTGATGGGTGTGGCCTTGAGGGAAAGTACATGTGCGCTTGTTTGAATTGCAAGCTGAACTAGCTGCTTTTATTTTTTGTTGTTATTGTTTTTTATTTATTTATTTGAGACAGGGTCTTGCACTGTTGCCCAGGCTGGAGTCCAGTGGTATAATCTTGGCTCACTGCAGCCGCAGTCTCAGCCTCCTGGGCTTAGCTGATCTTCTCACCTTACCCCTCACAGTAGCTGGGACTACAGGCGTGTGCTGCCATGCCCGGCTAATTTTTGTATTTTTTGTAGAGATAGGATTTTGTCATATTGCCCAGGCTGGTCTCAAACTCCTGAGCTCAAGTGATCCATCTGCCTAGGCCTCCCAGAGTACTGAGATTACAGGCATGAGCCACTGTGCCTGGCCAAGCTGCTTTTATCTGGAAGAATGACTGTTATGGTGACACAGACTTGGGTTTTTGGTGGACATTCTCTTGAAAATGAACAAAGTGAACATATTACTTCAACAAAAATAACTAACAGTATTTGTTGCTAGTGATAAAGGAAAACTTGTATTTATCCCTGTAAGCCTGACAGTTTCCTAACTGACAGTTTCCCAGTTCTTTTTTTTTTTTTTTTTTTTTTTCCTTGAGTCAGGCTGGAGTGCAGTGGCACAATCTCAGCTCACTGCAGCCTTGACCTCCTGGGCTCAAGTGAGCCTCCCACTGCCTCCTGAGTAGCTGGGACTTCAGGTCTTTGCCACCATGCCCGGTTAATTCTTGTATTTTTTGTAGAGATAGGGTCTCACTTTGTTGCCCAAGCTGGTCTCAAACTCTGACCTCAAGTGATCCGCTCACCTTGGCCTCCCAAAATGCTGGGATTATAGATGTGAGCCACCACGCCCGGCCAGTTTCCCAGTTCTTATAAGACTTCTGATGTAAGCAGAGGTGATATTAACAATGTGATTTTTTAGGAATTCTGTAATAAAATGTTTCTGTATCTGGGAGATCTACATAACACACTGAAACGGTGTCTTCCACCTGGCCAGTGCAGGATGTTCCAGTCATGCACTGGGGTAAAAGCTCTCCTGAAACTGCAAGATGGACCAGGGGAGTTTTTTGGTTTTTTTTTTTTTTTTTTTTTGAGACGGAGTCTCGCTCTGTCACCCAGGCTGGAGTGCAGTGGCTGGATCTCAGCTCACTGCAAGCTCCGCCTCCCAGGTTCACGCCATTCTCCTGCCTCAGCCTCCCGCGTAGCTGGGACTACGGGCACCCGCCACCTCGCCCGGCTAGTTTTTTGTATTTTTTAGTAGAGACGGGGTTTCACCGTGTTAGCCAGGATGGTCTCGATCTCTTGACCTCGTGATCCGCCCGTCTCAGCCTCCCAAACTGCTGGGATTACAGGCTTGAGCCACTGCGCCTGGCCCAGAGGAGTTTATTAATGTGAGAGTGTGGAACGTTCATTGATACATTTCAGATTCCCCACCTCCCTCATCTTTAGAAGCAACCTCTTGTCAGGCTTTAATGTAGAATCACAGACTATTCACAGTAATCTGAAAAGGCCTATATCTATCTTTATGGGGCCAGATTTTCTTCATATATTTTAACCGAATACTCCCTCACAGCAAGTTGAATGCTGATTGAATCAAATATGAGGATCCAGCTGCATCTTATTAAGCTAGACATTAAAGAGAACTACAAAAATAATTCCACTCTTCTCATTCTTCTTCTTCTTCTTTTTTTTTTAGAAAAGAGGTTTTTTATTTTGGGGTCAGGCAAAGTAGCTTATGCCTGTAATCCCAGCACTTTGGGAGGAGGAGGCAAACGGATCAGTTGAGGTCAGGAGTTCGAGACCAGCCTTGCCAACGTGGTAAAACCCTGTCTCTACTAAAAATACAAAAATTAGCTGGGCATGGTAGCACACACCTGTAGTCCCAGCTACCCAGGAAGCTAAGGCAGAAGGATTGCTTGAACCTGGGAGGTGGAGGTTGCAGTGAATTGATATCGTGCCACTGCACTCCAGCCTGGGCCACAGAATAGGACTCTGTCTCAAATATATATATATATATGTTAATTTTAGAGACAGGGTCCTGTGTCATGCAGGCTGGAGTGCGGTGGTGTGATCATAGTTCATTGTAACCTCGAACTTCTAGGCTTATGTGGTCTTCTCATCTTAGCCTTCCACGTAGCTGGAATTACAGGCATGCACTACCATGCCTCACTAATTAAAAACTTTTTTTGCGGAGATGGAGTCTCACCATATTGCCCAGGCTGATCTTGAACTCCTGGCCTGTAGCTGTCCTCCTGCCTCAGTCTCCCAAAGGGCTGGGATTACAGGTATGAGCCACTGGACCCATCCTGTTTTACTTTCTGATCCATATTTGTAGATGTAATCATATTAACAAAAATCTTGGGGTCTTAGGGAATTTTTAAAAGTGTGAAAAGGTCTTCAGACCAAAAGATGGAGAACTGTTGTGTTAGAGATGAGGCTTGTTGAGTCTCTCATGGACATGGGGATGTGAAGTTGAGTGAAGGTCTGTCTGGTTCTTCTCTTCCTTTGCCTATTGAGCTTATTCCAGACTTAGTTGGCCAGATGCTTGTGGTTATT